CGGAGTCAGAAGAGGAACATCAGCACACTCCAGATCTGGTGGAGAAAACACAAACAAGCATGTCACACGTTTCATCAGCACATCATCTGTTACAGTTCAAAAAGGATGAGATTGCTTTAAAAACTCGATTAAATTAATGATAATAATAATAATAATAATAATAATATTAATAATAATAATGATAATAATAATAATAATTATTATTATTATTATTATTATTATTATTATTATTATTATTATTATTATTATTATATAACAATATTATTATTATGTTACATAATAATAATAATAATAATAATAATAATAATAATAATAATAATAATAATATATTATTATTATTATTATTATTATTATTATTATTATTATTATTTATTTTCCTTTGGTTAGGCTCCTTTATTAATCGCGGGTTGCCACAGCGGAATAAACTGCCAACTATTCCAGCATATGTTTTACACAACGCATGCACTTCCAGCTGTAACCCAGTACTGGACAACATCCATACACTCACATTCACACACACTTATACACTTGGGCCAATTCAGTTCATTCAATTCACCTATAGTGCATTTGTTTGGACTGTGGAGGAAACCCAAGTCATTATCATCATCATCATCATCATCATCATCATCATCATCATATTATTATTATTATTATTATTGTTATTTTTGTTATTATTATTATTATTATTATTATCATCATCATCATCATCATCATTAAAATAATTAAGACAAAATAATCAAAATACAGTAAAATAAAATATCAAATAAATATAATATAAAATAAACACATAATAAAATATCAAATATTATTTTAAAAATAAATAAGCATGCATAAATCATTTACTCCATCCACCCATTTATAAAACTAATTATAACAGATATTTAATTGACTAATAAAATCAGTTTAAAATCAGTTCACATGTGCAAAATTAAGCATTAGTTATGAAAATATGCATACTACTACTATAAACTAAATAAAAATATATCTGCTAAATTAATTCATCCATTCATCCATCCAATCCATTCATCCATCCAATGAAAAAAATAACAAGTAAAAAGAATAACAAAAAATATCTTAAAGTAAAATATAAAATAAGTGAAGCCAAATAAACAAATAAATAAAGCAGAATCAAATAAAAAGATAATTGCATACAAATTAACAAGTAAATTTATTAACAGCAATTCAACCAAAAAAAAAGGAATAAAAAAAAAAACAACTAATACAATAAAGCTGCAGTCACACTGGACTTTTCTCCACATAGACTTCCATTCATACACATGAGTCAGATCAGAAGCACAAGCTCTTGCAACAAGTTTTAAAGTTCGCTGCGTTGCAAAGTTCAAGCTTGGTGAACTCTGACCTGCGAAATTGCATTAACTGACTGCGTGAAACCAATCGAGCATTAAAACATGACCTCTCTGGACAGAAATTTAAAATATAAACCAATCGTTCGCTTTTTTAAATGTCGAATCACCTTGTTTAGTCCCGCCCCTTTTCGCAGCACCATACTACTGAATTTCGCAAGCTCAAACTCTAGTGTGACCGCGGCATAAGACTTTAAAAAATACAAGTTGTAATAAAATAAAACTGCTAAAATATTATTATCAATCCAACATGTCAAGATTTACACAGCGTTCCCAAAAATTAGAAGAGATCTAATTTATTTCCACAAAATCCCACTGCAGAGGGATTAAACAAGCCTGTATATACAGTTGTCCAAGTTATTCACCCTCCTGTGATTTTTTTTTTTTTTTTCTCAAATGATGTTTAACAGAGCAAGGAATTTTTCCCACAGTTATACAATCACTTGCCTAATTACACTAACTAAGTTAACCTAATTAACCTAGTTAAGCCTTTAAATGTCCCTTTAAGCTGTATAGAAGTGTCTTGAAGAATATCTAGTCAAATATTATTTACTGTCATTGCAAAGATAAAATAAATCAGTTATTAGAGATGAGTTATCAAAACTATTGTAGTTAGAAATGTGTTGAAAAAATCATATTTCTATTAAACAGAAATTATAGAAATAAAAATATACAGGAGGGCTAACAATTCAGACTTTCAGACATCATCTCATACAGAAAGTCAATCATCAACATCTGTTTGCCACAATAAAAAAAAAACCCTCCATCATCCAGCAGACCTGCAGCTTATTGAGCCACAAACACACCACACACACCTCCACCCTGACCTTCCCAACCTCCCCAAAACCCTGTCCCGCAGACAGAGGGGTCTCTGTGGCCTCAGGGGGTCAACTGTGAGGGGTCAGAGGTCGCGACACTGGGGTGATGATGTCATATCGCACAGACGCCACAGTGTTGGCCTGTCCGCTTGTGGGCACCAGCAGGACACAGAGAAGCCTTTGAGGAGATAAACCGTGCCCGATGACCAACACTGATCCAATTAGGACTGTCGGGTGGCTGATCCACTGAAAGGAGGACCACAAAAACCCCCCGAGGGGCTGGAGAAGTGAGCGAAACGGCCGTAATGCGATCAAAGATGTACGGTGAGGCGGAGTTAATTTAGCTGATTTCGGATGTTGTTTTACATTCAGACAGATTTTTATTCGTCTTTATTCGTTCCTTCCTTCATTTTCCTTCAGCTTATTCTCTATTTTAGAGGTTGCCACAGCGGAATGAACCGCCGACTGATCGTCGTTACGAACGCTTGCTTTGTCGTTACGAACGCCTGTGTGAACAGGGCTTATGCTGGGTTCACATCAAATGCGCAATTATGTAATAACGTCACAAGAGTAAATTACATACAAAGTCTACACAAACATGAAAATATTAGTGAATTATCGCCGCGCGGCATGAACGCCATGGAATGCGTGATGAGGTTGATTCACGTCAATCATATTTAAAGTGCAATTCCGAAAATTTAACTAAAGATAAAAATCGTGAAAAACATCGCGTGAGTAAATTAGCGTGAGTGATGTGGTGCTTCATGTTTGGTGCGCACCCAACATGAAGACTAAACTGACAGAAACAGCTGTCATACTGTTTTTTAATGGCAAGCAGTAATTGAATAATTGCTGACATTATTCATTTTAAACCCAAATTGTTTTAGTCTTAAACTATCGACAGAACTGGCTGTCAGTGTTTAACGTTTAGCAGCTGAGAACATTATCGTCGTCTTAATCGTCTAAACCAGGGGTGTCAAACTCAAATCCTGGAGGGCCGAAGCCCTGCACAGTTTAGTTCCAACCCTGCTCCAACACACTTACCTGTAGGCTTCAAACAAGCCTGAAGGACTCAATTAGTTTGATCAGGTGTGTTTAATTAGGGTTGGAGCTAAACTGTGCAGAGCTGCGGCCCTTTTGGAACTGAGTTTGACACCTGTGGTCTAAACGCACATTTGATCATCGTTTTGTACCACACCAGGGGCCTCATGCATCAATGCTGCGTATGCACAAAAACTTTGCGTACGCTATATTTCACGCTCACGTTTGGATTTATAATCGATGAAATGAACGTGAGATTGTGTGTTGGTCCACGCCAACTTCATGTCTGGCGAACGTGCATTTCTTGTGTGTGTATGTTTTATTTCCATTGGCGACTCCTAGAGGCAGTTGTGTTAAATTGCACACAACAAAGTGTCTTTGAGCCGTGCAATGGCAGCTGCTGTATGGCAGTACGCGTGTCTAGCAGGTGTGCAAGGTTTCCATACCATGCAGTTGACCAGCCAAACATTAAAGCGCAATTTGCAGCAATCGCCGGTTTTCCCAACGTAATCGGAGCGATCGACTGCACGCACATTGCTATAAAGGCGCCATCTGAAGATGAATTTGCATACGTGAATCGCAAACATTTCCATTCAATAAATGTGCAAATAATATCTGATGCTCAAATGCGCTTAACATAATACACACACTTATTAATGATTCCTACTTGTCTTCCTTGTGATGATGAGTAGGCAAAATCTGATATGTAGCGGGGGAAAGAAGAATGAGTTCATCAGATGCTGGATTCAAACCGGGTTCATGATCAAACGAGTCAAAACTTGTTGCTTTATGAGCTGCGCTACTCACGATGCTATAGACACTACAAAATTGTACACCTTTAGCAAAGACCATTTCTTTTTTAATTCACACACAGTGCGCCTTTCAGACCCAACTGCGTTAACCGCGTCAGCTAAACTCTCCCTCTATTTTTTTTTCTTTTGTTATTAATTTCGGAGGAGAAACTTGCAAATAACACCGTTTTTCTAAGGTCTACCTTTGAAAGGAGCCACCTCCAGTTCACATTCTGTTCAAAGTTTCTCTTTTTGCTTGCTTTTGCCAATGCTTATTCGTTTGGTTTTGCAAAAGTAGAGTCATTAGCATATTCATAAGGGGGAGGAGGCAGGGAGGGGTTTTGTGCTCATGCACGTGCGCTCAGTTTACGTATATTCGGATGTACAAAGAGAAGATGCGTATGATTCCGCGTACGCAGTGTTTCACACATCTGAATTTTTTAGGCCCCGTTTACACTAGTGCGTTTTCGCTTTAAAACGGAGTTTTAGATGAAAAACTATCCGTGTCCACACTAGCGTCTCTGAATATATCTCCGTCCACACTACGCCACCAAAAACGTATATCACGTGACTATTCGCGCACTCTGGGCATGCGGGATCTAGTATAAACAGGAAGCATGTGTCTCGCTCGGCATTTGGTTATTGTTAGTCAACAAACGCCGGTTGAACAATGAACACGATGACAAAGAAAGCAAGAGAGGTATTTTGTGGACAGACGACGAGGTTGAGTTGTTACTAAACGTAACAAATGAATAACTGCACAATGGCGCCTAAAACAGACAATAGTGCAAACAACGCTCCCATTTCTGTGTCCATGTTGTTGTTTACAGTGAAGGCTGGTCTGAAGTCTTCCGCTAGCATTAAAGCCATGTGTTAAAGTCAAGTGATAGGGGCTTGACGAATAAGGGAAGGATATGCAATGACACAAAAGCCCCAATCAGATAGCGAATCTCAGCAGCCCCGCCTCCAATTTCAGATGTCTCCGTTTTCCCTCATCCACACTGAGACGGAGCAGCAGCGT